CATTATTATTATTATAATCAAGGGGAAGCGCTAAACCCAGAGGATTATACAGCACCTGGGGGGGGATGTGGAAGGCATTCAGGCTTAATTCGGGGAACTGGAGCACAGATCCAATTCCCTAAATCAAGAGCCCCTCACCAACATCAAGGAACCTTCCTTGAGGGGTTCGCTGCATTACACAGCAGCCCGTATCCACTTGCATAGGTGGTATACGCTCTGTTCTTTATATCTCTCTCCTTCTCAGGCATTATCTATTCCGGATATTGCCTTTCTTGTTTCATCATTACCGCCACCGATTCTGTTATTTGGCGATTTTAATGCCCATCATTTCCTCGGGGGGGGGGGGGTCTCACTGTGATTCCCGTGGCATTCAGTTAGAGGCTTTTCTTGCCACCCACCCCCTCCATGTTTTAAATACAGGTACGTGTACTCACACCCATTTTGATCCTCGGACTCTCACTCTCTCTTGCATCGATCTCTCAGTCTGCTCTTCCTCCGCCGCATTAGACTTCACTTGGCCTGTTCTCCCGGATTTACATGGCAGCGATCATTTCCCAATCATTCTTACTTCCCCTTCATATTCACCACCTCTTCGCATTCCACGCTGGCAATTTGATCAGGCAAATTGGAATCTTTACTCACACCTAACTGTTTTTAGAGAGGTTCCTTCTTCGTCCTCCATTGATGAGCTTTTACACCTCTTCTCGTCCTCCGTTTTAATCACCGCTTCTAATTGTATACCCCAAACTTCGGGCAGGCATTCTCAGAAATGCGTGCCTTGGTCTCCTGCTTGTGCTCGTGCAGTACGTTTGAAATGCACTGCATGGGGCAGGTACCGGTACAACAGAACCACGGAGAGACTTCTTGATTTTAAGCAGAAGCGTGCGATTGCTCGCCATGTCATCCGTGATGCTAAACGCACTTGCTGGCGAGATTATGTCTCCACCATCACCTCTGCTTCCTCTATGAGTGCGGTCTGGAAAAAAGTACGAAAACTGAGTGGTAAATATTCTCCTGACCCGGCGCCTGTTCTGCGGGTTGCCGGTGTTGATATAGCAAACCCACTAGATGTTGCCAATGAAATTGGCAATCATCTGGTCCGTATTTCTCAGGGACTCCATCTATGCCCCTCGTTTCTTTCCTCAAAGTCTGCCAGAGAGTTAGCACCCTTGGACTTTTCTTCTCTCAGAGAAGAACAGTATAATGTGCCTTTTACACTTCAAGAACTGGAGGCAACACTCTCAGCTTGCCGATCATCGGCAGCTGGGCCCGACGACATTCACATTCGTATGCTACAACATTTACATCAGTCAGCCTTGCAGTCCTATTATGCCTTTACAATCTTATTTGGTCACAAGTTCTTCCACAGCTGTGGAAATCTGCCATTGTTCTCCCTTTCCACAAACCAGGCACTATGGGACATGAAGCCTCCCACTATCGTCCCATTGCTCTTACCAGTGCAGTTTGCAAAGTGATGGAACGCCTGGTAAATAGACGTTTAGTGTGGTATTTAGAGACACACGACAGTCTCTCCACTCATCAATATGGCTTTCGTAAGGGACGTTCTACCATAGACCCCTTACTACGCTTGGATACGTATGTTCGTAATGCCTTTGCGAATAACCACTCGGTTATTGCCATATTTTTTGACCTTGAGAAGGCATATGACACAACTTGGAGGTATAATATTTTAGCCCAAGCCCACTCCTTAGGCCTTTGAGGCAATCTACCATCCTTCCTTAAGAACTTTTTAACTGACAGGCATTTCCGTGTTCGGGTTAATAATGTGCTCTCCCCGGACTTTATCCAAGCTGAAGGTGTCCCCCAGGGATGTGTTCTGAGCACAACACTTTTTCTCCACGCTATTAATGATTTGGCCTCTAGTTTTCCATCACATATTTGGTCATCACTCTATGTTGATGACTTCGCTATTGCCTGTGCAGGCGCTGACTGTCACCTCATTAGTTTCTCTCCAGCATGCGGTTGACCGTGTTTCCAACTGGGCCACCGCACATGGGTTTAAATTTTCCAGCACTAAAACCCACCAAATTACTTTCACTAGACGCTCTGTCATCTCTGATCATCCTTTGTACCTCAATGGCTCCCGTATCCCTGAACGTGATCCAGTCAAGTTTCTGGGCCTCCTCTTTGACTGTAGGTTATCCTGGAAACCTCACATTACCTCTCTGAAGGCAACTTGTCACAGCCGGCTGAACCTTCTTAAAACCCTTGCTCATCTTTCATGGGGAGCTGATCGTCGAACGCTCCTTCACCTACATTCCACCCTCATTTTATCGAAACTTGATTATGGTGACCAGATCTATTCAGCGGCATCTCCTGCTACTCTCTCTAGCCTTAACCCCATTCATCACCAAGGATTACGTTTATGCCTTGGTGCTTTTCGCTCTTCCCCTGTCGAGAGCCTCTATGCAGAAGCGAACGTTCCATCCTTATCCGATCGCCATGATGCCCATTGCCTTCGCTACTATGTACGCTCTCATGATCTCCGCAATCCTTCCATTTATAGAATGGTCACTGATATTAGTAGAATTCTTTATTTGTTTCGCCGCCCTGTTTACTCCGTCCTTCTCTCTTCGCCTTCATTCGCTCGTCTTCTCTTCAATTACCACCTTTCTATATTCATGTAGCATCTCACTTTTCCCTACCCCCCTGGGAAGTTCCAGCTTTTAGAGTCTGTTCTTTCTCTCTCCCTTGCTCGAAAGCCTAACTGTCTACGGTCGCTTCCCGCTCTCTTTTTCTTGACCACTTCCACTCTCATTCTCATGCCATTGCTGTGTACACAGATGGCTCTAAGTCTTCTGATGGCATAGGATTCGCAGCAGTGTTTCTGGACAGCATCGTACGAGGGCATTTACTATCTTCGGCTAGTATTTTTACTGCTGAATTGTATGCCATCCTTGCAGCACTTATCCGTATTGCATCTATGCCTGTGTCATCATTTGTGGTTGTCTCAGACTCCCTTAGTGCTTTACAGACTATATAGAAATTTGATACACCTCACCCCTTAGTCCTCCGTATCCAACATTGGCTACGCCGCATCTTTACCAAGCATAAAGATATTGTTTTTTGTTGGGTCCCTGGTCATGTTGACATACAGGGCAATGAACAGGCAGACACTGCTGCGCGGTCAGCAGTACATGACCTACCAGTTTCATATAGAGGTATTCCATTTACGGACTATTTTGCTGCAATATCTTCCCACCTTCACACCCGTTGGCAACAACGTTGGTCTACTATGCTCGGCAACAAACTTCAATCTATTAAACCGAGTATAGGTTACTGGCCATCTTGTTATCACCAGTGTCGAGGTTGGGAGACTACTCTCTCCCGTCTTCGCATTGGCCATACTCGTCTAACTCATGGATATCTCATGGAGAGGCGCCCTGCTCCTCTCTGTGAGAATTGCCAAGCTCCATTATCAGTCAGCCACATTCTGTTGGACTGCCCACTTTATCAACGAGCACGCAGAATTTACCTCCGTTGTCGTCTTCGCTCCGCTGCTCTCTCTTTACCTTCCCTTCTCGCTGATGGACCCACCTTTCATCTGGACTCTCTCATTGACTTTTTGACAACAACTGACTGACTTCACAAATTCTTATACCTTCAGCCCTTTCTACTTCAATCTCTTGCTACCCTCTACCCCCGTACTATCCCCTGCCCCGCTGTTTTCTGTATCCTACTGATCATCCCCCCTCCCTTCTGCCACCCAATACCCTCGCTTCCTTCCCTACCCTGCAGCGCTGTATAGCCCTTGTGGCTTAGCGCTTCTTTTTGATTGTAATAATCATAGAATTGATGAGGGAAAAAAGGTGAGTGGTGCGTTGAGGTATATGTGGAGTCAAAAAACGTTATCTATGGAGGCAAAGAAGGGAATGTATGAAAGTATAGTAGTACCAATACTCTTACATGGATGTGAAGCTTGGGTGGTAAATGCAGCAGCGAGGAGATGGTTGGAGGCAGTGGAGATGTCCTGTCTAAGGGCAATGTGTGGTGTAAATATTATGCAGAAAATTCGGAGTGTGGAAATTAGGAGAAGGTGTGGAGTTAATAAAAGCATTAGTCAGAGGGCAGAAGAGGGGTTGTTGAGGTGGTTTGGTCATTTAGAGAGAATGGATCAAAGTAGAATGACATGGAAAGCATATAAATCTATAGGGGAAGGAAAGAGGGGTAGGGGTCGTCCTCGAAAGGGTTGGAAAGAGGGGGTAAAGGAGGTTTTGTGGGTGAGGGGCTTGGACTTCCAGCAAGCGTGCATGAGCGTGTTAGATAGGAGTGAATGGAGACGAATGATACTTGGGACCTGACGATCTGTTGGAGTGTGAGCAGGGTAATATTTAGTGAAGGGATTCAGGGAAACCGGTTATTTTCATATAGTCGGACTTGAGTCCTGGAAATGGGAAGTACAATGCCTGCACTTTAAAGGAGGGGTTTGGGATATTGGCAGTTTGGAGGGATATGTTGTGTATCTCTATACGTATATGCTTCTAAACTGTTGTATTCTGAGCACCTCTGCAAAAGCAGTGATAATGTGTGAGTGTGGTGAAAGTGTTGAATGATGATGAAAGTATTTTCTTTTTGGGGATTTTCTTTTTTTTTTTTTTTGGGTCACCCTGCCTCGGTGGGAGACGACCGACTTGTTGAAAAAAAAAAAAAAAATAATAAACTGTCATATCTGAGCGCTTCTGCAAAGACAGTGATTATGTATGAGTGATGGTGAACGTGTTGAATAGTGAACATGTTTCTTTCTTTTTTGGGTCACCCTGCCTCACTGGGAAACAGGCAACACATTAAAAAAAAAAAAAATCTAGAAACAAGATGAGCAAGTTTAACAGAATGCTTGAATAGTGTAACAGAAAAGATAAGACTAACCATAAGTACTCTCCTAAATAGCAATGCGATAGATCATATTTTTGTTGCATGCACTATATTTCCTTCGCTGAAAGGCAATAAAATGTTCAGATCACTTAGGGTAATTAAAATACTTTCTAGTTAATCCATTTTACTGGGCACAGGTACCATAGTATAACATAGTAAGGGACAACATTTCTACATCACATGGCAGAAGACAGCTGCCAAACAATGAACAAACATACATACATACAAACAAACCATCACACAACATCCGTCTAGCTACATTGTTGAGGCACCTCCCATACTTGCACAGTGCAGCAAGATGGTGCAATGTGCCAGTGGAGGTGTGGTCACTCTCAGCTTCTTCACAATTTAATGTTTATTTCTCAGTTTTCTAAAGATGCCAAGCGCTGTATGACCCTAGTAGGTTTAGTGCTTCTTTTTGATTACAATAATAATACTCTAAAGATGCCATCTTATATGTTTTTAATAAGTACATATGACATTAATACTTATATAGTGTACAACTGACTAAGCTTATAAGAATATGCGCTAATTTTATTACACGATAATCAAAGAATTATCTTTTTATGTAATTTTTATGCAATTTTCACAGTGAAATACTAATATAAATAACTTCAAATACTAGCAGTTGTAGTAAAACCATGTCACCTTATTTTAAAAGTAATATCTGACTATAAATGATTCATCAAATAACTGCTTAAACATTTCAGAAAATACTGCAGAATTAAAATCAGAGATGCCAGCAAAGCCTTCTATAAAATGCATCATACAGAATGTACCATTTTATCCAACAACAATTTATGAAGAAGCTGAAGAAGGGCCCAGTGTCCAGGTGGTTTGTTTACAATCATACATAATTCAAAGTCGTCTGTGCCCAAGTTATCCCAAGGAAGCATGTCTCGTTTCATTTACAAGCATAAGCCTACAGACAACATAAGAGGTACTTTAATGATTGTTTGCTGCCTACTGGCCTGAGACCCTTAAAAAATGACCATTGGTCCAGTGTTAATATAAAGGACATTCAAGTCCACCATATGCTGCTCCTGTAGTTGGTTCCACCACTCATAAAATGGAACTAATGGCATACTCTTTCATACAAATTGTATGTCATACATCCTGAAGGAAAATTGCAAAGATTTAAATAGTTCATTATGAAGACATGAAGATTGTGAATAAAGTAATAGAACTCAAACCCAGTAATATGTACTTACACACTATGTTACTGCCCCAACTCAACTCAGAAAAATTTAAAAGTAAATAAACCTTATTAAAATATTGTAAGATTATTCCACAAATATACTAAGGGATTTTTCATAAAAACACAAAAGAACTAGTAAAGAAAACCATTAACCTTGTATATCATCTTATTTAAAATTCCAACTTCATTAATTATGTAAACACTCATTCAAACTATATATATATATTTATATATTACAAACCATAAAATGAATATATTCTCTCAATATTTATATATATACTGTATACTGAAGTAATAAATATTATCTCTGCAAAAATCAAAATTTATATGGTATTTCTTATCGCTGTATTGTAATTTCTCCACAAAAAAGCTGTGCAAAGCAATGCAAAGTGTTACCTAAAAAATTTCACCAGCATTAGGCTGATATTAATTATTGTTGTTAAAAGTTTCTCTGGCTTTTGTTAATTGATATCCTGATCAAAGTGCTGTCCCTGATAATGCATGGCGATGCTGCTTGTACAATAACTTTCAATTAAATCCGAGGGTCTAATGTGCTCCCACTATGCAAATTTATGAAAGAATACTCCAGCTGCTTTAGTTCTCCAAACTTCTGAAAACATACTGTTTTATAACAATTCTTATAAAAAAAGTCATCCAGTATATGAATCTCCTATACTGAAATAAACAATAAAAAATAAGAGAGGACTACTTTCTTGCATAATCAAGCACAGTAAAATGTGACGAGCACCTGTGATTTTGGGCCATTTTATTTATTTGACAGCTTTATGGAATGCTATTAAACTGTGGAGTCCAGTATGCTTTCAAGAAAAGCTAGTGGATGAAAGTTTCTTAAATGTCTATTAATAATAATGTGATCCAAAAGGCTGCATCAAATCACCAGGTCACATCACATATTCACACTGTTGAAAGAGATACTATGAAGGTACCCCATGACTGTTCACTTATCATTTAATGTGCACATCATGTTGTGACTAGATCAGCCATTACGGGCCCTATGTAGAGGTGGAATAAAGTTCAGTTATCCTCTTAAAAATTGGAAACTGGAACTCCTACGTCAATGCATAAGGCACATAATCACAAATCTTGATAAAATTATTACATATGAAGAATTTTTGGTTATGGATGATGGAAGCAGAGACTTGTTTTTTATTATTGCAATGAAAGACAATTAATTTACTAAGCAGAAAATGAACATCACTACTGATTTCCATCTACAAATTATTCTGGTTTTAGTACACCTCAAGTTAGAACAGAGTGGACGTAATATTCCTGAAGTGTGAATGTAAAGGTGTACTGTACACGCTTCATGAAACACCTTACCCATTTTGGTCTTGGCAACTTTATTACTTGATAGTTTCAAAAGATTTTCACCATCGCCTAAGCACAATGTCTTAGTTTTCAAGTTCTCAGTTGCTAAACTGACATTTTTCTGAATGGAGACTATCATAACCTTTTTATTGTATACCTGACCCATCTTTTACAAAAAGTTCCCCTCAAGATTTGACTTCTCTACACAACCATATTAGTATTTTTCCTCTTTTTTTTTTTATTCTAGTAATTGACAAACTTTGTTTATCTTTCCCAGAACTCCATCAATCTCATTGGTTGTAAGGTCCAGTTTTCACAAGGCAACAATACTTGGACTCTTGATTTCTTATTCATGGAGTGTTGGTAGTGTAGCTTTGTATTAAACCAATAAGAGGAGGGAGATGCCAGAAAAGTAAACTGCTCATCATCATATATGACTTATTTCTTTAAGGACTATTTTCTTTATCTTAACCAAAGAAAATTGCCTTTAGAGAACAACCATCTGGAAGTAAAAATACCATATCTAGTTGTACACTCATTTCTCATTTGATCTGCATATGGCTGGGCATTATCAAATATTAAGTGGAGTATGAAGAGGGACATAAATAATTTTTTTAATTTTCAAATATTGTATTAATCTGAGAAAATTTGGAATTGATTGCATTAAAAAGATGTTATAAACTTACAAGGAAACTATTCATATTATTTAGTGTAAAAGATAATTGTTTCAATAACAGTTATAATAAACTCAAGTATTAAGAACCATCTTCATAACTAATAACCTGATTAAACTTTTATTTTTTAATTAGCACTACAATTATCAATTTATACCCTTCTTTATAAAGTCACATATTGTATACAAGAACTTGGGAAGTTTTTCAATTAATGTTATACAACACTGACAGCCTCTGATATTTAATGGCTAGTCACATATTTTGTAGATTCAGTTATGATTCAAATACTGTACAGTATGACCTTATTCCTAGAGTCTATGAATATATAAACAATGGATATCTGGAATTTAGGTTGATAATTATCGGAGGTCTCCAGAATCTTCATCGTCGATCATATTTTGAATTTCTTCTTCCCATTTTTCGTTGTCCTTTCCAGCTCCACCCACCACCTCGTATTCGCCCAGCTCCTCTCCAAGTTCTTCACGGAGCTCCTTCTCCCAGTCCTCCTCTGGCACAACAACAACAAACGTCAACAACACTGGCTCACTGACCCCAACTTTTGGCTCAAATATGGGACTGGATTTCTTTGAAAGCAATTATGAGTTCAAATAAAAGTACTGATCTACCCTAACTACAATTTCATATATTCAATATTCTTCTTTACTGCACCCACAACAGGGTGGACAAATACATTTTTGACTGCCACAAGTGGTTTATTTTTCTATATAGCACATTCCATGATTATTTATGCAACAGAGCTGAACAAAGCACCATACAAGCCATTACTTCATCATATGATTTGGAAAACTTGTATGAAAAACTGTTGTACAGAAACTTAGTACATGTAATTTGCATTTCATTACAGAAATCTTTTAAAACAAATCATTAATTTATTCCTAATATGTCAATTTTTCAAAAGAAAGTAACAGACTGAGCATTTTAAACATTCAGATCATTTTTTAAAAGTAAGGTTTAATTCGAGAGTAATTTATGATTTTTTATCCGTTTATGCTAACAAGTTCATAAAGGACTGTTGTGAGGGTATGATGCTTTCTGCATGAGCATGAAAAAGTTATCCAAGTATGAACGCTTCCCATGAACTGTGAGCCATAAGTGAGGAAAATGTGGGTCCATACAAAAAGCTTGTCAAGACTTTAAATTTTGTATAATGATCAAAATAGAACATATATCATTATTCTAGACTGCATTCACAATTAAAAAATCACTACTGTTCTTTTATGTCTTGAATTTTCAGGGTGTAAAATGATGTCATCCTTTTGATATTGTTATGTTCCATTTTGAATCAGTTGCCTTAATAGTATCGAGCTGTGCAAGTCAATAAATAATAAGTAAGGTGAAAACTATTGATAACATGTTTGCTTTACACTGGTGGAAATCTGTGAAGCAAAACAAGCAAGAGCAAATTGTCATTGTCAGAAATAAGAGTCATTGGTATGTATGTGAGTTATATACTGTACCATTAAAGTGATATACACAAGTACTTTTTTTAATTCATAAGAAAGAACAGATTTACTCCAGCAGTGAAAATAATGAATCTGGAGGCTTGAATGTTGCACAATATAAAACATGTATTATTGCACTTAATGTGCTATAACAGTAAAATGATTGAAACCACAACATTATCACATATGGTATTTTTCATGAGAGAAAACAGATAATCTAGTTACAATATAAATCTGCATTTTATACTAACTTTGCAAAGCTTTAATAATTATTTTATACTTTAATTACAATATGATGAGCTAGGAAACAGCCAAGCATATAAAAATATATAATTTTGATGAATTACATGAAACACACACACATTGGGTAAATGAGATGCAAACAATAATAAAAACCACCAGAACACCACTAACAAAACCCAAAGAAAAGCATGCAACACTATTTCCACTAAACACATTTCTATAGATATTCATTAGTTCATGATACTCTGAGTAACATTAAACCATGAAATATCTATAAAATAAGAAACTAAAATGTTTTGATAAGTTTTTCAAAATGTAACTAATGTAATACATTCACTACTCTAAAACCATCCATCCATGCACACAGTGGAAGTTAATACTATGATGGCATAAATAAGTAAAGTTGTGGTATAAATGACAGCATATCATTCCACTGTAATAAATATATCCTGGTCATTAAAACTTATAAATGTATAATAAATAGCTGCAGAAAACAGAGCTATAGCTCAGCATCTACCCCAACATGCTAAACATTTACAATCACTCAAACTATCCCAGTAAAACATCTACATGCTCTTGCGCAAAAAACCAAGTAGTGCCAGTGGGACAAAAGGAGGATCGAGCGAACTGTCTCGACTCTTAGGACCACGGAGGGCTGGCTGAAATGAGACAACAACGACGACACTGTTATCAACCCTACACTTGATCTAAAATCTATAATGAGGAAAGTATCAGCTTTGGCAAGGATGTCAAGTTAGTATGTACATGGAAATGGGTCACCCTCTTTATTAAATTTGTAAACTGAATATAAAGCATAACAAATTATACATAAAATAATAATTCATGACCAAAAAAATACCTTTGATTTCAGAGAGGATATAGAAATATAAATTAATGCAACATGGGCCATACCCAGCCAGACATCCCACAAAATCTGAGCCTATCCTACAGCAACATCCACTTCCTACACACATGAGCACTCACTCGTACTGACCCCTTGAGATGGAGCAGCCCTCACCAAAGGAAGTGTTAGAGTTTAACCTACAAACACACAGAAAACACAGTGTTAGACAGTCTACTCTAGCTTTATTAGGCAGACAATTCAGATATTAGTGGCATCTGGATGTAATGGCACATTCTATATACACTTGTGTTATATGCAATACAAGTAGTGTGATATGATGTTTGAGGATTCTATACCAGCCTCTCCTAAGTCACTGAATTAAGTACAGTGCACACAAAATACTCCATCCTTAATATATTTGTGCATGTATGTTATGTAATTTGTATATAGATTTCTAAAAACAGCTGAAAGTGTAAACTTAATACCTAAAATAATACAGCAGTAAAAGTAGTGCTACTAATATTATCACACATGCTCGAATTTAACCTGACAAATGTGTATGGGTTGACCCCTGACATTTTGAAAAAAAAATAAAATAAAATCACATATTTCATGTATGTCTACCCTAGTTTTGTGGGGTTTTAAATGGGGTTACATTGATTTGACGCAATACATAATCTAGCCAAAGTTTGGAATAAGCACTAAAAACTTAAAAATAGTGCCAAAACCTTCGCAATATTAGTGGTAAAAACAGAGAAATAGTCAGCCCAAACACTTGATAAACATAAGAATCATGGAGTGCTGTGGTAAACCTACTTGCTCATGTTAGGAAGGTCCAACACAAACCCAGTCATTTCATGTGAATTGAGGTGCTCTGCAGCAAACTCACTGGCTCATGCTTGGCAGGCTCTAATCACACTCAACATGTTTGTCTAGCAGACTGGTAAAGAACTGTAGCTATTACTAATGCCTCTCTCTAAAGAGAATTGAACTTTCCCTCAAACTCATCTCCCAGGTGGGTCTTCAGGCCATCCATTACCCTCCTCTACCCATTTTTTAGTGTGCCATTGATTTGCCATTTTTTGTCTTACAGGAAAGAGAGCAAGAGAGTAAGCAAAAGACAAAAAGTTGGAGATAACTGTCAAATCTGTGATGTACAATACTTTGTGAACAATGCCTTCTTTATGCTGCCTCATTGAAGAGTTTTTTTTTTATCAATTTTTACATGTTTGTACAATTACCAGTATTCACTGACACTGCCACACTCTCTGACCACTGAGACATTCCTAGAACTGGCTCAGTGACAATAAATGGCTGGAGCACTGCTGGTGGCCGTGATTGTACACACATGTGCGTAAGCGTGTCCACATGTCTCACTGTTATAACCATATTAATGTTCAGGGTTTCCAAATAGCCTCCCTGAGTGTATAAATAAACTGTTTAAATGTAAATTGTTAACATATAATTTTAAGGTTTTCCTGAATGCTGACAGTGAGGCAGAACCTTAATTTACATGTAGAGTGCTTCTTAAATAGAACAAATAAAGAACCTTTTTTTTTCAAGAGCTCTATATTCATCAGGAATCAAATCAAGGATGCAGGTATCCACTATATTTCCACTGTTCAATTAATGCTTTGTACTTGAAAATGCTGTCAGAAAGTAATAGTTTAAATACTTAACCAATGTTCAAAATGGTTTTTCAAATAATGTACAATGTCTACAACTCTACAATCTTTAAAGAAATTCAAAGATCTAGTTGTTGGTATCAGTGAATTTGGCCAGAATAAAAAAACTGCATTAATTACAGAGCCATTATATGCAGCATGTTTTTCTACTTTATATGTAGAATATGATGCAAAATAACCATAGAGAAAGATGAATGATAGCTCTAGGACTTTTGTATTGCAATCCATACATCATCAGGAGCTTGCAATGTTGCAGAAATGAGTAGGAAGTGCAGGCAGATTCATTCAGGGAAATGACTCGCGATTATTGCATAATGTAGAATATAAACTCTTAGATGAAAAATAAGGCATAAAAAGAATTTGTTTTATGATCTTCATGCCAGGTTCGGTTTTGTATTTGAGGTCATGAATCCACCCGGATAATTCAGGACAAAGACTCGGGGTGGTCTGATTGTCCATCTGTTAGTCATGAGAGACACTAATGAGAGACACTAACAACCTATCTGACTAGTTCTGAGTGTCATTAAATTGTTAATAAGCTTCTTTTTAGATATAAAGGTCTCAGTCTCGGTCTCTCTTGGTCTCTCTTTCTTTATGAGGTTTTTTGCTGTGAAAATTTTATATTAATTAACCTATCTGTACTAGAAATTTGCTATATGAAGTGAAAATTCACTTATTTATGATGGGAGTGAATGACTGCTAAGATGTTTTCCATAAACTTTTATCTAGCACACTCGGAAGCCTGCTGGGATGCTCAAACCTCTAAAACCCAAAGCCTCTTGTACTCCCCTCTAACCATGCCTGGGGTGACCCCTCTCTCTTCTACCTTTCACCTTAGATTTACATACCCTCTTTGTTAACCTATCCCAGTCCATCCTCTCAACATGCCCAAACCACTTCAACAACCCTTCCCTCTTCAAACATTTTTGCCTCATTAATACAGGTAAATGAACACAAATTGTTTACTCAATACAATAACTATTTTAAAGAAGTGCTCTGGGTGTTTGAAAGTACTTTCTCAGACATATGACCAACTGTGGCACTTCAGGAATGTTTATCCTAAGATTATAAGGATTTTACTGTATGTAGCTGCATTAATTACTATGGGAGATTCCAGGGGATGTGTGGCTGTCATTTACAACCCATTACTAAACAGAAGATGACTCAGACAGAAATATCACAGACACAATACAATACAGCAACAACAAACATTTTTGAAAAATTGTAAAGGCAGGAAATTAAGCCATAGCAAAACTAACAGTAGATGGGGTTT